CCCGGGGGGGGGGGCTCCCCCTCGCCCTTCTCACACTAGCCCGGTCATCCCTCCCAAATCGCCCTGGGCCTTCAAGGACAATCATGCCCCCCCTCACAGCTGTGCCTGTCGCCAGCTACTCCCTCAATTACCCCCCACCACCACCAGCAGCTCCAGGACACAGATGAGGCAGCAGAAATTTAGACTCCCCCATGGGGAAGACGGAGCAGAGTGTGACAGGCGACCTTTAGTGGCGTTCCCCTGTTCACTTCCACCTGACGTGGACATGCAAGGCTGCCAGCTCCCTACGCCTTCCTTTACGCTCGGCCCGCTCCACCGGAGATTCCTGTTAACGTCAGGATGGTGCTGATGCTGTGTGAATCAAGAATGGACCACGTCTTCCTCCTACTGGCATGGGGGGGGCAGATAAGGGGACATCCTAGTGTAGTGAAAGGCATATCTGGCAGAGGGACAATGGGCACCAGGAGCTGGAGAAGCTCCACAGATTCCCAGACGACAGATGCCCTCGAGCTCTCTGCTTTCTGCTGGGGACTCAGCTCCAGCTCGTCTTCTCACCACGTTTTTTTTGTCCTTCTCAGCCTTTTCTGATTTCCTTCATTCCCTCCTCAAATCCAAAGTGCCACCGCTGCCCCCCCCCCTCCATCCCTGCATCATCAGACCCCATGTCCAGGCCTGTGTATCAGGTTCGAACCTCTATCGGATGTTCCTGTGTTTTCTCCTTTAAGATATGAAACAGCGGCTTTCCCCCAGGGAAACACACACACACAAACACACACACATCTTGGCAGCGAGGGAAACAGACGAATTTGGAAGCAACTTTGGAAGCAACCGGGTGCTTGGATACATAAGCCTCATTCCCTCAGTGTCCTACGGTGAGTCCCCAGAATACCAAACGGCCCCTAATCTCCGGGTCTCTGCCATCAGCTGCTGATGTAACATGAGTAACACAATCAGAAAAAAAATAATTACCATTATATGCAAATTAATTATGCTAATAAGCTAAAATAATCAATGCTATTACTATTATTATCATTACATACGTCAATAAACAGTATCAGCATGACCTGATCATCTGCAGTAACATGACTGGGAGCAGAAACCAATTCAATTCAATTCAATTTTATTTATATAGCGCATTTTCAGAATATTATATTGTCTCAAAGTGCTTTACATTGTCCCTGTCCAAAGCCCCCAGTGAGCAATCCAGAGGTGACAGTGGCAAGGAAAAACTCCTTAGAAGAAAGGAACACTCGGAGGAACCAGACAAGTGTGTTTCCTAAGATGATTAGACAGATAGGCAGACAGAATACCAGGTTGGAAGGGGGGAGCCCTTCTGCAATTTTCCAGAAAGAATCTGGTGTCGTCCAACCGTCCAACCAGTGGCTCTCAGACCTGTCACACGGCAACCAAGGTCCAAGTGATGGAGACAGAGAGGGATGGATGGCCTGTCAGAAGGTTGGCTGACACTCTAAAGCCCATCTGAATGTGTGCGTGTGTGCGAAGGGGGGGGGGGCAATATGACATTGAAGCCCATTAGATCCGGCCACCAAGGCAGTGAACTGAGTCACATCTGGAAGAAGAGAAGGCCACACTAACAGACACAGCCCTCCTGAGTGACACGGTATGAACTGCACCTGTTAATAAGACGCCGTTGTCCCCTACAGTCTGCAACAAGGTTTCACACCTGGCATGAAGAGGGGACACACCCCCCTCCCCTCAGCAACCAATGTCTCCTGATCCAGGTCTCCGTCTCCGCCTGTGACCGTCACTGTCATCAGATCATGAGAGAATACACCCAGTGCTGTTTTGCGGAGCATTGGAGATGCATAAAAAAATCCAGAGGGACACGGCACTTTAATTTCTCTTCAGTGGATTTCCCGGCACGTACCGCCTCAGCCCTTCATCGAGACACTCCAGCCCTCAAAGCACCTGGGTCCCTCCCCCTCCACCTTATCTCTTTATTAGCTGAACATCTAGGGACGCACACTAAGTGCACATCTCAGTTAGGCGCTAATCGGCTCTCTGGGCACGGATCACCAGGTGCCCGCTGCTGCTTGTTGTTCTTCTGGATGTCACGAGCCAGCAGGAATGGTCACTTGGTCAGCAGTCAGACGTCCCGCTCGTTTAACAGCTGATTATTCCCTAGTCTCTCTGGCAGAGGTCAAAGCCATTGTTTATTCACCCTCTTGAGCAAATCCAAGTATAAAACACATTAATGCAGAGAGACCTGATTCAGCTCGATGTAAAATGTAAAAATGACAGTATCAGCAAACAAACTCAGCCATATTTTACAGCAAAGACGAACCAGACTGTGGAATGTTACCAAACATTCAGCAGAACCTGAAAACACTGTAAGTGGCTCCGGATATGGGAGAAGGGCAGTCCATTCAGAGACGGCAAAGGCATGTCCACCAATAATGTAAACAGTGATAAGGCCATGTGGGAAATATATTTATCACTGAAGCTATGAAACACCCACAAAACACGAGGCATCAGTCAGGTAAGGATGCATCCTGGGGCAGAGAACAAGGGGAGGACACTCACACGGAGCGAAACGCTCAGCCACGGGAGATCGAAGTCTCACCAGCTTGTCAAACCCCGTGCAATAAAAAATGGAAAGGCTTACTTCGAGGGATGGGGAGGATACTTAGAACTCATAAAACACTGTGGGGGGGGGGGGGGGGAAAGCCCCCGGGCAAGGGGGGGGGGGGAGAGGGGG